TGGACATAATTTGGACATAATTTCATTGAGTAAATGAATGGCAGTATGTGAAAGTCTGGCCAAAATTGGTACCGCAACCTCTCCCACTCTGCCTGACTTAAGGTGCCGGATACACAGACAATTCCAGCTGGACCATAATATCTGAATAGACAAGAGTTTTGTCAACAACAAATCTATAACCAACACCTTTTTCACATAGGCCCTGATAAAAATCATAATGAGACCATTTTTAGTTCTGCTGCCACATGTTACTTTACCAGTGAGATTAGCTCGATGCTTTGAGTTCTGGCAACCCGGATCACGGACTTTCTGATTGGTAAAGATTTAGGGGCTGTAAAACGTATTTAGAAATTAAAATATCTCGACTGAAGTGTCATTTTTTCTATCATCATTGGGGGTTTTATTGCCTTTAGAGACCCAGGAAAGTCCAAGTTTTCAGGGAATCCTAGGCCCAGAGGGAGGCGGTTATTAAGAGGGACTTTTGCACATGTTTTTAACGGTAGGGGAAACTCGAGTACCTAGAAGAAGCCTACGCAGACATGGAGAGAACATGCAAACTCCACAAAGATATGTCTGGAGCCAGAATCGAATCCAGGACTCGCTGTGAAGCACAAGCACTAACCACTGCGCCACTGTAATGAAATTTAATAATTTTTTCATTAGGGGCGACGGTAGCTCAGTTGGTAGAGCATTGGCCTTAAGGCCAGAAGGTTGTGGGTTCAATTCCCACCTCTACACCTTCTCCCAATCCCAATGACGACTGCTGTCGTTGTGTCCTTGGGCAAGACACTTAACCCCACTTTGCCCAAAGCCCCCACTGGAAGATCTCAGCTCCTGTGGACTCACCACCTGCAGAGGGTCAGTGAGGGGCTGGTGCTATGAGACTTGGGTGGCATCTCTGATTGCCACCCCCCTGACCCAGAAATGGATTAAAGGGTAGAAAATGGATGGATGGTTTTCATTAAATCCTGGTAATGGGCGGCACGGTGGCTGAGTGGATAGCACCTTCTTACCTTCTTGCCTCTCAACAAGAAGGTCCTGGGTTCGAATCCCGGTCGGACCAAGGCCTTTCTGAGTGGAGTTTGCATGTTCTCCCCGTGTCTGCGTAGGTTTCCTCCGGGTACTCCGGTTTCCCGTACCACTAAACATATGTAAAATAGGTCTGCCATGCGCCTCCTGTACTGGCGACCCCGCTCCCATCTCTGTGTGGAGTGAGGGGACAAATGTAAACCGCTTTGTGACTCTGGTCTGTGAAAGGAGGTATATAAATAAAGATTACTTACTTACTATCCACACTTATGTGCACGCTTAAGAATCCCCCTCACCTCGTGCAAACTTTTAACACACGTTTGGTAGACCCCAAAAAGTACTAATGGAAGTACTGATGGAAATGAATGTAGGGTACTGGTGTTTTGCACACATGTTGGAGTTTGTAAAGTGTGGCCGGGCTGAGGGGTTCCTGCTCCTCTCTCCTTCAGTCGTCCCTCATGACCTCAGCGTCTGCAGTTTAGTCACACTTCCGGTGCTTTTTCTCAGGATCTGTCTTAAGTAGAGCTGATTAATTACAGAGATAGTGCGGTGCAGGGTTAGATGGTCAGACCTCAGCCTGATAGGACCTGCAGGAGCCAAGGGAAGCGCAGTGACTTTGAGAAGCTTAATAGGATTGGGAAATGGTTATGGATTTATTGTATTTGTCTTATCAATAACCTTTACAAATATGCAGACAGATTACAAAGAACGGAACTGCAGCTTGTACAGAAATGTTCTCCATTTTTCCCACTTGAAATGTTTTGATGGCATTTCAGAGCAATCAGGCATCTCCACAAATCAGTCTCATACGTTCCTATGGAAACGTTATGCCTTTGGCTGTACTCCCCAGTATAGTATAGTAGGCAGTACTGTATTTTACCACAGCCGATGTTCCTTAAAGGCGCTATACCCGTTTGAATGTTTAGCACCGCCCAACTCGCTCACAGGCTTCTCATTTCCCCTACGCTCTCATTACACAGAGCCACCTAGTTTTATTTGCGATCTGATACGTATGCTAACATTAGCATTAGCGCAACATCTCGTAAGCTGTACAACAATCACTGATGAAATGGTACAAAAGCAACGCACTGCTAACACAATATATAAGTAAAAGAATACCACTAGTTTCGCGTCCGAATGTATTAATTTAAACATTAGAATATATTCTAATATTTAATTATAATTTATTATACAGCTCCTCACAGCAGCAGTAGAACACTCTGTTGAATTGAATGCAATTCTTCCGATTGCATTCAATTCTTCTTCCCTTTTTCTTGATAACAGAACTCTCAAATCAATAATGACCGAAGCCCCAATGCAATCTCTGTTTGTAATTCAGGTGTGTAAAATACTAACATTACTCCACAAGTACAACAAGCTATCAGCGCCTGTCACTACACTGTGCAGTTTCTCTGCACACTTGTCTGTGTAGAGAAGCTAGCGGAGCTAGCCACGCTCAATAAACAAATACATATCAATCAATCAACACCATTAAACGTCAATCGGACAATACAGTACACATATACATCCATAACACACATGCACGGACGATTTCAGAATTTGCTGTCAACGTTTTCATGACAAAAATACTGTTTTAATGTGACAAAAAGCGATCGCGAAAAACCCGGAAGTTACCATGAAACAGCTAGCTAGCTTAGCTGTTACCTGCCTAGCACGTCCCGGTGAAACCTTTGGGAGCTAACTATTTTATTTGCAGTCATTAAATACATTTCGAATTATAAGGGCTGTCTAATATTTGTTCGAATATATATATATTTTTTTTATTTTAGAATTATATTCAAATTTTGAAGTCGAAGCCCTGGTGTTAAGCAGCGCTGTAGAGGCTAGAGGACGCAGACTGTTCGCTGCTCGTTCTGTGAGCGGAGGAGAAAGAGCGGCCCGCTCAGATTCCACTCAGCACTTTTCACGGCATAAATTTCATACACAGCTAAATCATTGACCTCAAGTTTTCAATTAAATGATGTGTTATGATACAACTTGTATGTAGTAAAAAGCATTTTTATGAACTGCTTAGAAAAAAAATCGGGTATAGCTTCTTTAATATAGTTTGAACTTTATGTTTATCTACTTTTTCTTTTTTTTTTTTTACATTCTTGCACATGGAACATGTCATTGAAGCTCTATTTTGTTTCTTCTGGTGATAGTTAACTCTATGTGATGGATGATGTCACATTCCGTTAGTCTAGTCGTGAATAAAGCCTGCATATTTAACTTGTTTACAGCCCAGGGCCAACACAGGTTCACCAAGCAGTTTGATCAGCTGCCCTGTCACAACCTTAAAAATTAAAACATGATTTATCAAATTTTATGTGAAAAAAGATGTGTTCGTAATGTCCAAAACAACATTGTGTTCGTGAGTGGGACTGTAGCCCACTACAGCCCACTACAGTCCCACTGTGGTGGGCTACAGTAGAGGTGAACACACATCTCCCACTACCTGGCCTGGTTCATTAACATGCACTGTCCCATCCAAATAAACAATAAATACATAAATAGACAATAAACCCTCTAATGCATGATGTTGCATAAACCATGGACTGATGATCTGACTAAACCTCTGCAGTGCACAGCCCTCATACATGACTCACACAGAAGCTTCTTTTAAAAGATTCAAAGAAAGCACAGCTTAAAAACAATATTATTTTTCATTTGAAAGAATTATTTTTGAAAGCCTTTGATCCCTCGTGAGGGAGGTGTGTGTGACTGACCGTGTTTAGCATAGTCCAGGCTGAGTCTGTTTCAGCCCCTGGTGAGTTCTTCATTAGCCCTGGTGACAAGTTTCTCATGTTGAGGCGGACAGGACAGCAGTTTCTTGTAAAGTTAGCCCCATGATTGTGTATTAACATGGCCTGTAGGTGGAAGTCTATAACTGTCAGACCCCAGAAGCTAAGCAGTGCAGGGACTGGTTAGCTTTTGAGATGTGAGACCTCTGGGAACACCAGGTGCCATAGTGGGGTGCCACAGCTGTAAATGACACTTTGCCCATATCTGCCCAAGGTCAGCTGTGGCTACAGAGAAAGAAAATGCTGTGGAATGTCGTTGGGTGTCATGAAAAGTTCTGTACGGCGGTATCCCTTTTTTATTGTGTGGTGATCAGAACTTTTTGTACGGCTGAAACATAGCTGTGACCCGCTGTGTCGCTAACACTTCAGGCACTGACTCATCACAATCGGTGACATGATTGGAAACCCATGCATATATAAATACTATGCATTATTGTTACGTCCGTTGCCCGACACTCTTCTAACATACTTGTGCTTCTCTCTTGCCTCCAGGGCACACCGAACACATAATGGCGATGGCATCCAGGAACGCCTCCACCAATCAGAGGAGAGTGCGGGCCTCATAGACATGAGCCTCCACGGCCAATGGGACGCCAGCTCTGCACCTAGCCCCGCCTCGCTACGCCACACGTCAATGTTGCTTTCTAAGTAACAAAAGTGCACAGTTAAAACACTTACCATAAGTTTTTCCACATTCATCAAATAGTTATTGTCATCATTTTGCTGATGAAATCGTACAATACACAAAAATAGTGTTGAAATGTGTGGGAAGTGATTATTGATAATTTACGTATTCTAAACGTCACATTTAATTTGTTATACCATGCGTGCTGTGAACAAATTGCGAGTGTGGAGTATTTTGCTTCTCAGACTGCTAGCTGATAACACGCGCACTGTAAACTCATTGCAAGTTTCTGATTTTATATGAATGATTTACATAAAGTTGTGAAGAATATATCCTATTTAAATACCAAAGCCCTAATCTTAACCAAATCAACAAGGCCAAACCTAGTCCTACTCTCCAACGGATTGTGAAAGTTTAAATATTTAGTCAAAAACAAACATTTGCACAAATAGTGACAGCTTTGTGCTGAAAAAGCTTGACATGACGCAGTATTGGATGCATTAACTGCAAGAATAGGCGAGCAAGCGGCCGTGGCAGTTAAGATGGAGGTGGCAGAGCGGCACACGGGTGAACAGAGACGGGAGGACTTGAGATTGTCAGCGGGCGCCAGGGTTGCCAGGTTGGGCGTGTGTTGGCTGACCCTGCTCTCCATCGCTGTGACTCTGCTGCCCCCGGTGGCGGGAGACTGCTGGCTCATTGAGGGCGAGAAGGGCTATGTGTGGCTGGCCATCTGCAGCCAGAACCAGCCGCCGTTTGAGGCCATCCCTGTGCACATCAACAGGTCAGTGTGGCGGCGATGCAATGTGTGTTCTTTGTCGTCGTTGGACTTTGGTTTTAGTTAGAACGGCAAGAAATTTTTAAGTTTAAGTTCATTTTAATTCTTATAACAGTGGATTAGAATGATGACCTTTACAAACTACATTGGCAAAGGATAAGCGATGCAAGATAGATTAAGCATGCCGTAATAAAAACAACCCATTCTAAATTTGCTATCATAAATTACATGTTTCAGACTTCACAACACATCACACAACAGTGTATAACCCAGCAGTGTACTTGTATACATAAAAGACAGGTACATGGTTACATTTCCACCTCTACGTTGTGTCCGCAGCACGATCATCGACCTGCGTCTGAACGAGAATAAGATCCGCTCGGTGCACTACTCGTCTCTGAGCCGCTTCGGGAACCTGACCTACCTGAACCTGACCAAGAACGACATCAGCTATGTGGAGGACGGGGCCTTCTCCGCACTCTTCAACCTGCAGGTGACTGACCGCACTTAAGATGGTCATGGTGTGTCTGGGGGAATAAACGGAATCTCCCATACATTTGTGGAATAAATGGCACAATGAACACTTTATGGACAAGAAATAAAAACACACTGCTGCTTTGAACAGTGCAGATTCAGATTATCTGTCATTTTCAGTAAAACCATTGTGGAATGACTGTACAAGACTACCCCAGTCTGCACCAGGATAGCACCCACCGGAGCTCTGGCCATATTGTGCTGCTAGTTAATTGAATTAATAAAGACGTCAACGCAAACCCAGTTATAAGGGTGTAATTTTTTTATCGCAATTAACCCAAGCACAAATTAGCTGATCCATAGACGTCTCCATGTAAAGTCTATGGAGAAGTGGACTGCTATACATCAGCAAAAGTCATTTCTGCTGACCAAAAAGAGAATTAGCAGACGCTGTAGTTTGACTGAAATCAGCGTCACTGCGCGATAAAAATACAGCAATATTACTTTGTGGGTCTTATTTTGGGCCAGGCACCTGATCGTGAGGCTGAGTGCGTGCGTTTTACATGCCGCAGACTTCTGATCTGAAATCAGCCCCACCCTACCTGCAAGCCTTTCTGCTTCAAGAGAGGCATGAGCTGAGTAGGGGAGGTAAGGTACAGCAAGCATTGGAGAATACAAAAGCAGTCACACTGGACTACTGCTGATTACTGGATGTACATCAGGAACTATCTCCAGGTCACGGCACAAACGTTGAAGATAGAATTATATCCACTGAGCAAAAAAAAAAAAATAAATAATCCAACATCTAATGACCGGAATTAAAACAAAAGAGTAGCCCTCATTACAATCCAAGTAATTTCTACTATGCTCAATAGTTCTATGCACTGTAAAAAACAATAACAAAAGCATGCAGAGATTGAAATGCCTAGGTATATGCCAAGGTAAGAAAAGTTTATTTGTATAGCGCAATTCATACACAAGACAACTCAAAGTGCTGAACAAAACTAGGAAAAAAAAAGTAACTGTAGAGTCAGGGGACAAGAGCAGACACACAATACACACTCCCTGGCTTGAATTAGTGCACATGTTTTTAGTGGTAAGGGAAACCTACGAAGACACAGGCAAAGAACATACAAACTTTATTTTCTTTTCATTGACCATGTTGCTAATGTTGGTAACAATTCTGCGAAGTCCTTTGAAATTATAGCTGTTAATATAATTTTGAACAAATTCAGAGCATTGAAAAAAATTGTGACATCAAACAGTTTTTGTAAAGAGTCAGGTCCACCAAACTTTGAGGAAAAAAAGTACGGATGCTTCCAAGGCTCAGATGATCATGTGTGAGTCCCCATGTTGAGCTGATCCTTTCGTACTTGTGTCCAGGTTTTGCAGATGGGCTTCAACAGGCTGAGGAACCTGACAGAGGGAGTGCTGCGTGGACTGGGGAAGCTGCAGTACCTCTACCTCCAGGCCAACCTCATCGAGACCGTCTCCCCAAACACGTTCTGGGAGTGTCCCAACATTGAGAACATAGACCTCTCCATGAACAGGTACCGGGGATGCCAAAATGTTGTCCTCAATTTTTGCATTAGCATATCAAAAAACAGGCCAAGACAAAGTTCACTGCATGCAACTGATGTGGCTTATGCTATTTTGTAATGATATAAATCATTTATCAGTTTTTACGTAGACTTATTACGACTTATTATCACGGAGTAAAAGGGATGAAGATCCACACAACAGCACAAGTAGCAAGTGTGGTGTTTTTGGTATACATAGTTTGAAAAGAACAGTGGACTTGTACTAGAGAGGGTGAAAATGGGGAGTGACTGAACAACGGCAACTTGAAGGATACAGGGAAGAGATTCTAACATGGTTGGAAGAGTACATTTGATTAGTTAGAAAGGATATTGCTATTGTCACAAGTTAAAATAGCCCACTGAGGGGGATGTAGCCAACAAAGAAACAATATTAAAATATTAATAATATTTTAATAAAATTTAAGGTAGGCATGCACCGATAACCCTTTTTTCAAAACCGATACGAGTACCTTTTTGAGTACTTTCCGATATGGAGTACTACTTTTTTTTTCCTCCGGGAATTCATTAAAGTAATAAAACTGAAATTTAAAATGTTTTATGTCTCATTTTAATGATAAGAAAATGCTTTAACAATTAAACATATTAGCGACTGTTTTAACTGTCAACAATAAGAGCCACTGTCATATTCCACTCATACAATGCTATCATTCAATCAATCAATCCTTTATTATCTCACAGATGGAGACATTCAGTTTGATGAATAAACATCAAGGCTGGCTGCGTACTCTAATATTTTCGCGCTCCTTACGACAGTTATTCAACAGCAGAGAGCAAAACCAACATATATTTCAGATTCAGATTCAGATTAATTTATTTGCCATTTGCCGTAAAACCACATTATTTTTTTTCAGATTCAGATTCATTTATTCCATTCATCAGACATTATTGGATGGAAACAGTACACGCGGAAAGCATGCGGATCTTTTTAAAGGGACATTGTCACTCTGACGCACCTCGTCCAATATGCCGTGTCAGAGGGGAGTGTGGGTGAGGGAGGTGGAGGGGAAGACCACCATGGACGGAAGGAGAGAGAGACAGACATGTAGAGGGAGGGGTGAGCCAACCAACTGGTATACTGAGAATCTGTGAGTTATGAGAGAGAAAGAGTCCGTCTTCGGTCTTGAGTAGTGGACTGTGAAGGTCAGTAGATAAGAGCAGTGCCTGCCGACATGGGAGACAAAACAACACATATGCCTTTGGGAGAATTTGTAAAGCTCTTTAGCTGGTCAAATCAGGCAGTGTAGACTTTAACGCCAATTAAGTCCAAATTAAACCGGAACTGGATCCCTCTGTTCACCGTTATCCAGAGCTGACCACGTCAGTGCAAGGAACCGCCATGAGGCCCAAGTCCTTCAATCAATCCCTCCAAACGTTTATGTCCCTCCATAGATCTCATTCCCAGATCTTTAAGGGAATGTTCGACCTGTATCACACACCTCTGTGTCCCCACAGCGCTCTCGACCAAGACTCTGGTCAGCTCTCAAAAACTCTCCTTGTTTTCCGTGGAAATCTGCTCGTAAATCGGCTTTGCAGAAGTGAAAATGGCGGCAGGTCAGCTCGGCGCGCTGAAAGCCCTTTTACTTTACTGCGTGATTCTAAAGTTTGTAGACACAGGTCATCTTCTAAACCAGAACATAGTTAAACCAACTAGCTCTGAACAAACACATCTCCTTGCAAAAGCAAACCACCTCGGCTACGGGAACCACGTACTGCTGAGCACTTTCATCCACCGGTGCTCTTGGATAAACACACACAAGCGCAGAACCACCCCAGCCAAATGCCAACGAAGCGACAAGCTCATCATTACACTCTGTCTTCTACTATCCGGAGATGTGCACCAATGCCCTGGACCCATCGCATACTCTGCAAAAAATACTGAGGTAACCGCAGAACACATTGCTCTTACCGAACGCGGCGATGGTGGCGGCTCGCGGGCGGGGGGTCCGTCCGTTGCTGTGCGGTTCGAGCTGCCGCTCGTGGACTCTCCTGGGCGGCTGGCGGACTCGGTTGTGTGCGGGCCCCATGGGTTGCAGGGATTGTGGCGCCCTGGGGGCGTCTTCGACCCGGACCTGTCGACTGGCCCTGGTCGTCTTGGTCCAGTCGAGGTGAGCCGCACCTGTCCGTCACTGGAAATGCACCCGACTGGAAACCCACGCATGAACCCTAGTTCCGCACGCGCATCTGACCCTAGACACGCCATCACCGAGATAAAAAATAAAACTACAACAACAAAAATTAGAAGTAAATCTAATGCAATAAACCCTGCAATTAGAAAACTAAAAAGGCTGCCTTTCCTGCAGACAGTCAATAATGCTCGTGTCATCTGGGACCCTCTGGCTAAGCCTAGCGGCCTACTAGGAGGTCACTTAAACATACGCAGTTTGATCCCTAAAAGTGACCAGATCAAGCACCTTCTCTTGGAATCCACCCTGGACTTTCTATGCCTTTCTGAAACGTGGCTCCACAAAGCTTCCCCACCTGCCGCATTGACTGTGCCAGGATACAACAGTTTCAGGAAGGACAGAAAAGAGGGAAAAGGAGGGGGTCTCTTGTTCTATGTTCGCAACACAATACAATGTTCTCAAATACAGTGGCCCTCAGAAGAAAACCTGGAATGTATTGGCCTTAATATTGAACTCTCACCACAAATGTCTTTTACTTTGTTGGGACTATATAAACCACCAAAATCTTCCAAATCTACCTTCTGTGAACAACTTGACACCATCCTTAAACATTGTAATACTGATAAAGAAGTAATTGTAATGGGTGATTTTAACATTAATTATGAGGATAAGATTGCAAGAAAGTCACTTAAGTCTATGATGACAAAATATGACCTTGTCCAGGTAGTCAAAGGTCCGACAAGGATAACCTCATCAACCCAGACACAAATTGACTTGGTTTTCAGTAATAAACCAGATCGAATTCAAAAAAGTTACAATATGATCACTGGGCTATCTGATCACAATCTTACACTTGTATCTAGAAAGCTACCAAAGAGAAGACCAACACGGAATGAAATTAAAGGCAGCACTCTCAAAATTCCAAAAACTGAACTGCCAAATTTTCATGCAAAAATAGATGAAATAAATTGGAACAGTATACTTTCTGGTAATGATACAAATGCGGATTCCGAAGCATTTATCTCCACAATTCAGCGTGTGATAAAACACTATCAGAAAGAAGTAAAGCAAAGGCGTTATAAAAAGTATGTTCTTCCCTGGATTAATGAAGACATACTCAAGTTAATGAAAGAGCGAGATATGGCCCTGAAATCATCCTTAAAATCTAAACAGATGCATGACAAGCTTAGGTTTACAACCCTTACGAAATGGAGTAGCAAAAGAATTGAGGCATGCCAAAGCATTCCTTTTCATAAATAAAATCTGTGAAGGGAAAGGAAACAGTAAAATGACTTGGGATCAGCTAAAAATTCTAATGGGAAAAAATACCAAAACCCGCGACAATAACATCAAAATATATAAAGATACATGTCTAATAGAGGAACCATTACAAGTGGCTTCTACCTTCAATAAGCATTTTGTGGAGTCCGTTGAAGTGTTATCTTACAACCCACCCACGGACTCTCTAAGTGTGGTGCCGTTAAATACATTTGAACCGGTTTTCTCTCTAAGAGAAGTTTCTCACTCAATTGTGGATAAAACAATAAGGACGCTAAAAAATTCGAAATCATCCGATTCATATGGACTGGATACAATACTGCTGAAGACACACAGAGAAACACTCACAGATCCCATCACAAAACTGATAAACTCTTCTTTCAGACAGTCATTGTGCCCTACTACTTGGAAACCAGCAATTGTTACACCAGTTTTCAAGTCTGGAAATGCACAAGAAGTCACAAACTACAGACCTATCAGCATATTGCCCGTTGTCTCAAAAATTGCGGAGAGATGTGTAGCTGATCAGCTACAGGCCCATCTTAACAACTCTCCTTTCAACCTACACCCCATGCAATTTGGCTTTAGGGCCAACCATTCCACTGACACTGCCACCTGCTTTTTCATTGAAAGCGTAAAGGCTAAAATGGACAAAGGGGGGGTAGTCGGTGCCATTTTCCTGGACTTAAAAAAAGCATTTGACACCATCAGCCATAATGTCCTCATCTCCAAACTATCACTGTTCAACTTCTCACCTGAAGCGGTAAACTGGGTAAAATCATATCTAGAACACAGGACACAAGCGGTCCGGATAAATAATAGTCTATCGTCCCATCGGGCTTACACTGCCGGTGTGCCCCAGGGTTCTATCCTGGGGCCGCTCCTGTTCAGCATCTATATAAACGACTTACCATCTGTGTGTTCTGGATGTGATATTCAAATGTATGCGACGACACTGTGATCTATGTACATGGTAAAGATAAGGCGGAAGCAGCCCAAAAATTGACTGAAACCATGATTCACGTTTCAGAATGGCTTTTTAAGTCGTGCCTGCACTTGAATTTGAAAAAAACAGAATGTATGTTTTTTTCTAAACAAAATTCTAATTCACCAAACCCCAGTGTGTGTATTGCTGGTAACACAATAAATGTAGTGACACAATACACATATCTGGGTGTTGTCATAGACTGTCATTTTTCTTTCAAGAAACAGGTAAAGAAAGTAAACCGAATAGTAAAGCTAAATTTAGCAAATTTTAAATTCATCAGAAGTAACTTAAACCAGGAATCTGCCATTTTATTTTTCAATTCGATGATTATGCCGCATCTTACCTACTGTGTTACCAGCTGGTCACAGGGATGCAAGACAGCCCTGAAGCCTATCCAGTCTGTCTACAAACAGGCGTTAAAAGTCCTGGATAGGAAACCTTTCCGGCATCACCACTGTAGCATCTTGGCCAAATATAAGATGCTCAGCTGGGAAAACCTGGTAAGATTTCAAGATGGTCTTCTGGTTTTTAAAATCTTAAATGGTCTGGCCCCACCCCCACTATCTATTTTTTTTAAGCAGAGCAGCAGAAACACCAGATCTGCTGCCTCTAATAATCTTCTCGTCCCACTGAGAAAAAGTTCCTTTGGCCAATCAGCTTTCTCAGTGCGCGCCGTTCAGTTTTGGAACACAATCCCAGTCCATATAAAAAATAGCACCACACACAGGACTTTTAAACATACGTTGAAAGCCTGGTTATTGGACAATCAAGATTGTAACCACTCATGATGCATTACTTGCTTTTATATGTTTTAATTACGTGTTTTAAACTGAAATGTTTTAACTAGTTACTCTATATTGTCATGTGATGTAATGTATTGTAATGTAATTGTAATTTTTTGCAGTGCACTTTGATGGCATTTTACACCTTGCCTAGGGACTACAGTTGGAAACTAGCTGTTAGCTAATACTGACACATTTACAGCAATGTTGATTAATGTGTAACGTCCCTATTCAAATAAACTATTAAAAAAAAAAACAAAAAAAAAAAAAAAAAATCTTCTGAGTGGACATTCCTCCGACTTTGCGGTAGATCAGGCCAACTCCAAATCCAATCAGGAGGAACCCTGCTACCATAAATCCAAAAATGTGTGTATCCTCAATGTCCTCGATGGACAGTCCCGACAGACAAACGGGGTGCCACTTTTGCCTGTTGTCAAAAACGTACCCAGCAGCCGCTGTACCGTCCGGACAGGCGGCATCTCCAGAACCGCCTTTACACGATGAAAAAATAGTATCAATTGCATTGAGGGACCAGTTGATTAGTTCCATCATTTTCAAGTTGCACACACAGGCAGAACTCTAGGAAAAAAGACAGTCAGGGCAAGTTGGTTGTTTTTGAGCTCCAGTGCTAGCAAAGGTATTATATTCTGCATGTTGTTGAGTTTTCAGATGTTTGATCAAGTTGCTGGTGTTATATGCGTTTGTTTTGGACCCACCTTGTGACAGTTTTGACTTACACAACGTACAGTCCGCTTTACTCTTGTGACTCCATTACTTGAAAACGAGCAATAAGAACCACATCCTGTGTGCATGCCTCTAAGCTAGCGGCTAAACTAAGCTGCTCGCCGTCGACTTTCTGTGATCACCATGACAACATATGCCGCACAGCTGTCGGGTGTTGTGACATGACGCTAATGTAAATTAAAAGCATAAACAGGAAATATAAAACATACAGATAAACACAGATTTCAAAGCTTTTGAAAATGTCACTTTCTCACACTATTGCCCTTCTTTTAGTGATTGATCTGTGTTTGTTTGTGTGTGTGCAGGATCCAGGTTTTGGACGGCAGCCTGTTCTCCAGCTTGACCAAACTCACCACGTGTGAGCTTTACACCAACCCGTTCAACTGTTCGTGCGAGCTGCTGAACTTCCTGCGCTGGCTCTCCCTGTTCCCCAACCGCACCAGCGAACGTATGGTGTGTGATGCCCCCAGAGGCTTCTTTGGGTACAACCTGCTCAACCAGAACCCGCAGCTCCCCAACCAGGGTAATGCGCTCTACATGCTGAGTACGGTGTGCTCGGAAGACGGCAGCAGCGTCACGCCTGGGCTGGGGGACTTCACCACTCCTCCCCCAGACTTTGTATCTCCCTGCGGGCTGGAGGATTGCTCGTCAGGAACCCCTCCTGACGAGATCATTGATATCCCCGACCCCAAGCCCATCATGAAGCTCAAACAGGTGCTGGACTCTAGCGCTCTCATCACAGTGCAGATCCCCTATCCCTACAAGAAAATGTACATACTGGTTCTGTACAACAATAGCTTCTTCACTGACATCCAGAACCTTGCCAGTCAAAGAGAGGACATTGAGCTCAAGAACCTAACCCCCAACACTAACTACACTTACTGTGTGGCGTCCATCCGTAACTCTCTGCGCTTCAACCACACCTGCCTGACCATCTCCACAGGCCGCGGAGACAGGAACAAGCGTGTCGCCAACCAGTCATCTGCCACACACTACATCATGACCATCCTGGGCTGCCTGTTCGGGATGCTGCTCTTCCTGGGCTGTGTCATGCACTGTCTTAGGAGGAGGAGGATCTTGGAGGAGAAGGAGAGGAAGATGAATCGCATCCAGAGGACTCTGATTGAGCTCAAGTATGGAGGGGAAGGGGGTATAGAGGCAGGTAGTGGGGGCTCACAAAAGCTTACATCTGGAGACAGTCTATCCAGGCTGCCCTACATTCCCCCAGGTGAGATAGATCCTTACAAGCTCCAAGAAGTGATCGAAACCCCGGCACACAAGCCTGCCAAAATGAACTACATGGAGGTGAGGGGGTCTGTGGAGCGAGACAGAGACAGGGAGAGAGAGAGGGAGAGAGAGAGGGAGAGGGAAAGAGAGAGAGACATGTCTCCTCCAGCCAACCCCCAGGGCTCTGTGGCAGAGATCTCCACCATCGCTAAGGAGGTAGACAAAGTCAATCAGATAATCAATAACTGCATTGACGCTCTGAAGTCTGAGTCCACATCATTCCAGCAGGGGATGAAGTCCCCATCCTCAGTTGGAGGGGGCGCTGTGTCTACAGCAGAGCCTCAGCTGGTGCTGCTGGAGCAGGAAGGGGAGCGTGGGGGCAGAGAATTCCTCTCTCCTGTGTACAAAGGAGGTAGAACGCGTGACGATCGGCGCGGCTTCCACCACTCTCTGCAGCGCCACCACAGTATGGAAGCTCCACCCACCTCCAAACGGCCTAGTACTTCCTCATCCCCTGGATCTGCTCGCAGCCCGCGCTCCTTCCGCTCCGAGGGTGGGTACCACCCCTCTGAGAGCCGCTACATCGAGAGGAGCTCCCCTGGAGAGAGGGAGCGAGGGGAGCCCATCCGCACAGCCCCTCCTGCAGCTGCCATCTTGCGAGCAGAGGCTCAGAGGATACGGCAGTACAACGAGCACCGACACTCCTACCCTGGCTCTCAGCAGCATCTCCAGGAGCTCCAGCAGCACCCTCATATGCTGCAGGAGCTACACCAGCACCCCTCTGTCCTGGACCCCATGACCTTGGGCCGGCAGGCCAAGCAGCGCGAGCTGGCCTACCACTATCCCATGTCCCCTGAGTATCACAACCTGAGCTACTGTTCTAGCCCTGAGGAAGATGAAGAGGACGAGGGGCTGCTGTGCACCCCCACCCTGGGCCTGTGGGAGCGCTTCAAGCTGCACCGCAAGAGGCACCGGCAGGCCTCTTTGGAGGACGAGGGCTATGTGGCCGCGGGACACGCCCTGAGGCAGAAGGTACAGTTTGCCAAGGACGAAGACCTGCATGACATCCTGGACTATTGGAAAGGAGTGTCCGCTCAGCAAAAGGCCTGAGGACTCTCCAACATGTGTAAATACACCAGGACATCATCATATATTATTATTACTATGGAACAAGAAGCATAAATCATAAAGAGAAGAAAGTAGTTTTTGTATGACAAATTATAGCTCAAAGTTATGTAGCTCTTTGTACACATTTTGAATGAAAAAAGAACAAATGTTATGAAAAGATACCGTAAAAGTTGCCTGGAAGCCTTTAGATTGGTGTGAGGGCATTTATTATACATATATAGTGCGTGGAACCTCCTCATGAGAAGATAAGGTTAACGTCGTCCTGAGCTGATGGACACCAGGCAGGAGTGACCAAGTCTGGATACCATGTGCCAAATCAATCACAGGCAGTAGGCCTGACTGTGTACCACGCTCACACTGTTTTTCTACACACTTTAAAAGCAACTAGAATGATATGTTCTTATTACTAATATTATTACTATTATTCCTATCTTTACTGTATTCTCAATGGATGACTCTGATGAAGGCCTGGCCTACAGAGACATGGAGCAGACTTTTCTTCAGGAATGTGCTGAGTCCTGAGCCACCCCCTCCTCTATGTACAGACCACACAGAAGTTCTATATTTGACTGTTTACTTTGTATAACCTGATTTTGAATCTTTACTGACTTTTTCTCCACTCGGCCCTACCTACCGAGTTAGTTAGCTACCTGGTCACCTATAGTACGTTTTTGATTTTGAAGCGAAAAAAAACAATGTTGATCTTAAAAATGAATGTCTCCGCAGGGAAAAACAAATCTGCACTGTTCAAAATCAGAAAACGACTTGTGGGATGGCCGAAACCTCTTAGCTTCCTCCGGGGACACTGTAGCTCCATTTTATATACGCCATCCTTTTGCATTGCCAGATTTGAAGCTCTCATTACTGTCAATAGGTTGCGTTTACATGACATAACATTCTACAGCTACTGTTAAATTACGATGGAGGGTAGGTTGACATTCAATACTGGTGTTAGTTAATTTTGTTCTGCCATTAGATTTTGTAAAACAGGCTCAAACTTCAGGCAAATGCAGAGAACTCAAACTTCTTAAAATGTTGGCACTGTAATGGTCTGTGAGTAACTGCAAGAGTTGTGTTTTGTTATGAATTCAGGATCACACGGCAGACAGTGAGGATAGTGGGTGGATGGATAGAACTGACACTATCCTCTCCAGGAAAAAAAACAGTATATCAAAATATGACTAAAACACAATGTAAGTGGATATATGAAACAGAAGTAACATTACATATGAAACAAATAATGCAAATGTAACTATGTAATTCAATTCATTCATGGACAAATAGAAGATCACCCTCACTTAGCCAATCAGCTTTCAGATCAAAATGTCAACTAGTGACTCAAAGGGCTCTTTTCTTCACATATAAACATAACATGTTCTCTATTAAGACCTTCTCCACCGCCTCCCACTGGTGCCTGCTGTCGTTGTGTCCTTGGGCAAAACACTGCTGAAAGATCAAGGGTATGTTCTCAGAGACAGAGCAGCCATCCTCCTGTGGACTCACCACCTGATCAGTGAGGGGCTGGTGCTCTGTGAACTGGGTGCAGCTCTGACTGCCACCCTCCAACTCAGAAATGGATTAAGGGGGAAAAAAATGGATGGATTGTCTTATTAAAAGAACCTAAAGCTTTATACATAAAATAAGATATGAACTTATATTTATTTGTTATTGAAATAAAAACCACTGACCCTAACCTGATAATAGTGGGACGGGAAAACGGAAATAACCAGTCAGCATCCGAGAAAGCCCACTCTAAAGCACATTAAGAATTCTATAATTTTTTTGTTTTGTTTTTTTTAAATAAAATCACATCGAGTGGCGGCATTACTGGATTACAAAGGCACAATTTTTCCAGAGAATATTCCATCGAGTTGCAAAGACCTTTTCCCTCCATCAGAAATTTAGAATTCAAGAATGTTGTGAACGCAACCTATTGATCTGGTTCCAATGTGGTGCCATCGTGCCAAATTGATACCTTGTAAAAACTAAAGAATCAACTTTATATACTTCTATTTACATGGATTTCTCAGTTTGCCAAACAGAACAATTTGCACAAGACCTTATACCATTGGCTCAGCGCTTTCTTCTATCATCCAATCGTTTCTAAGACCAAAGTACTGTGGTAGATTTCTGTACCCTAGCGCCATCGCCCTTGAGTTGTACACACTCACGCGCCACATGAATGTAATCTCAGCGAAAACTAACGAGCTGCCTGATATGTTTGCTGAAACCGCAGATGCATCGATTTGGTAAAGGTATGTGGAGCTCGGCATGTGGAGGTATTTTGTTTGTTTGGGACAAAAGGCCAAGAAAGACTTAGACGGCTTGTCTAATGTTTTACAAATGGCATGATGATAGTGTGAAAGGTTGATTGTTTTCAGAAATAAATGCTAGTTGAGGAGTGAAGGAGTGAAGAAAGTGTTCCTCAATGATCCTTCTTTAAAAAGTATTAATCTGTGCTGAATATGGTGAGCCTGTTTTGTTTTAGACAGAGCTGTGGAGATTCTTTTCTGCCTATTTAAACAAATGCATCAAACTCTTGTTTGCATCAGAAATGCATCAGTTCTTAGCCTTAAAACTGTGTGAAAAAACCACCTACCATGGTTAAATGCTTTCCCGTCAATATTTGTATGATATGTGTCCTTTGAGAGCAGCCAGTCAAGAAGGTCTAGATAGATAGAGGCAAAATAATTGATTTTTCCCTCCCGCTGAGTGATAAAATGCGAAGAACTCCTGTCTGGACTCGGCCCGACTTTAAGCCCACTTGTCAGAGCGAGATAAAGGTGGAGTTTCCATGACGACTGCCTCACAGACCAGCACCGTAGTTGTTTAAATAATCCTCCCTTATCTGCTTAAACGCACCATGGAAGAGCCCTCGAGTGGGGTTTTGGAGAGAAGTGGTTTTTGGGTCGCTCTGTGGGGCTTGGGGTTACCACAGGTCAAACGCTCAACAAACACACCCAGGGCTAGAACTTGAAGGCATGGAGTTGGCAGGCGGTGGGGAGGATTTTTGTTGCGATCAATTTTTTGTCCACAATATTGAGATAATACTTTGAGCTGGGTATTTGACAACATCGGAATAATCTGGTTGTGAACCGGGATGTGATTGGAGCCTATTCGATTGGTAGCTGGGTTGTAGTTGGTCAGCTGGTTGCTATGAAGTAGTCTGCTCATTCAAGTCAATGGGCTGTAGTCAGCAAATTCCGTCAATTGGCAATAGCAGCTTGCCCCAAAAACCCACCTGAAGCTTTGTACCCATACCACTGGAGGCTGTTAGTCACATATCAAGTTACACTTTTGTTGACTTTGGACTGGTTCTGGTCCTGGACTGGATTTGGTTCAGTTTGGTTTCTATCCAAGAAAAGGGAGTGCTAGTTACCATAGTACTACTTAGTATGAGTATGCAAAGGTAAAACCAGTTTAAAACTTTTATTAAATCTGATGAAAAACTACACTTTTTTGTCAACATTTTCGCAAAATTAAGGCTCTGGGAGTTTTAGGAGTGCTCATAATTGTGGAGACCTAGTGTTGAAGGAATAGGCCACCGTTTTTACATACTGACATATGTTCTTACCTTACCTTAGACTAGTTGATATGTACCTGTGTGATCTTTGTCCGTGCGCTCTGTCATGCAAACGGAGCACAAACGCAGCCTCTTCCACAGACTGTATAGTACCAAATCAGCTCCCCTTTAGAAGCTACCAAACTCTTCCACGTGTTCCCTTTTTAAATACAGTTACGTGACGTGTTACACTACAAAGTATAGTAACACAGAAATGTAACATGTCGATTTTCTCAGCGGATAAAAAGGGGTACTATATTGTGAGGCGTAATAATACGAGGAGCACTACGCCGCGCACTAACTGCTAAAGACTTCTCTCCCGCCCACGCTGCTTCTATTGACGGAAGTGGGTTAGGGTACGCACCAACTAGTCTAAGGTAAGGTAAGAGCTATGTCAGTATGTAAAAACGGTGGCCTATTCCTTTAAAGATCGATGGTAGGTATTGGTAACATGGAGGTGATTGATAGTAGTACGGTTTTGACTGGTCAGCAGGGAGCATCGGTGCATCTCCTGGTGGTCAGCAGCAGATGGAGCAGCTCGCACAGGGCTCTGGACAAATAGCCTGGGAACATAAGCACTGTGGGTGTTTTAGGGTTTAAGGCCATCTGCTCTGGTTGTGTCCACACTGATACTGTAACACAATGCATTAGGGGTTTATTTACAATTTTGTATTAAATGATAAACTATACAGATCTTTCTTCTGTACGTGTTGTTCATTGCAAACCTCAATGTTGATCCACAATGATGTCCATTAAATGTCTACAAGTTGGACTGTTAGGCTCAACAATATTCTTCAAATGAATTTAAGATTAAGAGATCCTGTATTCGCCCCAAAGTAGGGAAATTTCAGTGTTGCATCACAAGTTACAGAACAGTAGGAAAGAGGAGCACACGGCAGTGAACAATAGCTATACTAATTAAAATAAAGCAAAACTCTAGCATCAGTAAGTAAGTATAAACTCTCTATCTTGAAAATAATAATAAAAGAAGTGTAAGGCGGCTTCACTTGACGCGCTTCACCATTCACTTTCAATGCAAACCTGACGCTTTTGACGCCGAAGTTAAGTCCGGTGTGAACGCCCTTAAAAGTTTTACATTTGGCATAATAAGAGGCAAGTATAAAGTACTGTGTATTCTAGTGCAATTGTAGTTATATGTTAGCATCTGTATATTAGCAGCACTATGTTTACATCTGTACATTAGCAGCAGTATGTTTACATCTGTACATTAGCAGCAGTATGTTTACATCTGTACATTAGCAGCAGTATGTTTACATCTGTTTGAACAAACATACATTAATATGGCCACTTATTTTAGTGTCTGCATTCATTGATAGTCCCGACCAAAGCCAGAACAGTTGGCAGAGTTATTGGATAATGGAAATTGAAAATGGTGTTCGCATGAATAAAATCAAAATAT